CGTATAAACTGTGCTTGTAAATTGCTATTCTGTGGTGAAGTTAGAGTCGAACCTGGTATCTAACGAAGGCAAACAACGTGCGTTCTGAGGGATAGATTGATGGACGCAAAACCAATCGAGGCGTTTCCAAAGACCTAAGCCGTGTTATTAAAATCATCCATGAATTGAGCGACGACGATTACGCACTTGGAAGTAGGTGAATAGTGCCTTGCAATTGACGGGTCTGTTGAGACATGAGGTTTGTGTCTTCTACCTTCTCTCCAGGACTCGTACCTTCTTAAGTTAACTGCGGTGATACTGAAACCAATGTCACTTTGTGTAATACATAGAAGAAAGGCCATCACGCACACGCCGATGAGCGAGAAAAGCAAGCAGTAGCGGTTGAGGAAGTAGAAAATCTTTTGCAATGGTTAGAACGTCCGTGTTTTCCTATCTAGCAATTTGCTCACCAAAGGCCACCGGAGTTGTCGTTTTCGCGTGATATAGTCCCAGTCGAAGTCGAGGGACGTGAACCACTCCCAGCTGACGGGACATTAGACAGACATGCGATGGAATGGACAAAAATACTACGCACATGTATAGACCAAGAAGGACATGCATAAAGTGCGTAAAAGAGGCTAGAAAGATGGTCAACTATCGGATAATGTCGTATTCGCGGAATATGCTCCCTCACCGACGTCAAAGTCAATCTCCTCTGGGGACTGCCAATCGACCATGAGAGCTATATGATAAGTAAGGAGTAGAGGCAATAGGAGTCAACTCGAGCAACACTGAATGAGTGTCATATATGTGGCACTGTGTATCGCATTGGGATGAGGCCACCTAATATAAGGCGGCGCATGCGGGCGTCAATCTCTCGTCCAGGCATGTTTCGGTAATAGGGTAACATACGAGTGCTTCTGTATCAGATGATAAGTAAATATTTTCTCATGAAATTCTACAGCGAAAAGAGAGAGGTCGAGGTATAGTCAAACTCTCCAAGGAAACGACTTGTCCGCCGAACGAATAAACGAAATCTGAATCCGACAAAAGAGAGTGAACGGAAAGGACGTGTCGAAAGAAGTAGGCGCCATTGGAAACGCTATTCCTCCAATTGCTACAGATCAGAAAAAACATACGGCCGCGGATCGTCTCTGCCTTTGCCGCATCGAAGACAGCGCAGTGCATTCCCTATAGGAGCATTCAGCAGGCTATACATAAACTCAATTCCACACAACATCCCACTTTCCCATTACGTCTCGCTTGAGTGAGGTGCCGCACACATGATGATGCCCAGCTGTGCTCCAGTACTCACCCTCGCATCCTCATTTGAGTTTCACCGAGCAATGTGGGTGCCACTTACGTCTACATACGCCAGAGGAGGCGCTTGATGCAGCGCTTGTGGATCGATTAGCGTAAGCGCACTGCTCAAACTTTCAATTGTCGTCGAGGACTTAGTCAGCTTTGATGCGCATTAGCACGTGACTGCGACGGCTTCGATATGAATCTATGATCGGTGCGCGCTACAGCCTGCCGTTGGACCGCCATCAAAGCGACACTCACGCATCTCACGCTCAACGTCTGCCAAATCCGTCCATTCACCCCAATTCACGCATCTCACCGTCGTCCCACTGGCGGAACCGCAAGCTCGTAGACATGAAGAGCCTTGAGGCTTGAACGAGTTTGGGTTGGGGCTGTGATACGTCGACCCAGAGCCTGGAGAGTATGCAGACTCGACCTGTTGGACCCGATTGCTTCTGAGTTGGTGTACGCAAAGCTACATGAGATTATTCAAAAATTGGCACTCAAATCACGATTGTACGAACATGTTGAACTTGTGGTGTCTGCAGGATTTGCTCCCGGCGCCACTGCGCCACTTCCGTGTTCCGGTTGTGTCGATCGATCACATACCCCGTAGCCCTTTTGCTCTTGGACGACGACGACGCACTCCCACCGGATCCAACGTTATTCGAGCTGTGTCGTGTGTGAATTTCGAAAGCAAGACTCCTCTGTAGGCCCATCACGTGCCAAAGCCTAGACCCGACCACGCCCCACACGCCTCTCGTCGGCCGACTGCGCGCGCTAGTCAGCGAACGGATCTCGACGAGTTGCATATGGGCGTCGGCCCCTCTCAGTCTGCGCGCTGTCTGCGCCTAAACGATGCGTCCGGCGCTCTAGACTGAATTGACTTTTTTGCGCGTGCGACCAACCGCGCCTCCTGTACCTCCAGGTACCATTCCCCAGGGTTCCCCATGGGCGTCTGGGGAATTTGTGGGCGAGACATGATTGCAGTGAACAATGGAATCTGAATCGACTTACAGACACAAAAACTCACCACCTTTCTTCCTCCTCTTCCACTCTCTTTTCCGCTCCATTCACACGACGAACAGACAGGCTAGCCCCTGGAATACTGGTTGGAATACTGGTTGCAAAGCAGTGCCTGAATGTCAGACGTTTGCACGCACTCCATTTTGCGGGGCCAAAATAGCAGGGGTACCGGACTGTGGGGAACTGGAAAGTCGACAGCGGGGTACCGATCGTCAAAGTAGTCGTTTTTTTGCCCTCCGCGGAAAGGTATAAATACCAGCTCTGCTAGTCCACTGAGAGTCGTACCTTCCTGCTTACCTTCCCCCACATCACCCCACACTCGCCTTACGAACTACTCGCAATGGGAGGAGGACCTGTTCTGCACGCTACAAGCGATGTCAACCGCGTCGAGGCGCCGGTGACAATGAAGGCATATCTTATGTGTGCCTTCGCTGCGTACGTCTTCCTTTTATTGTCCATGAGCGACGCTGACGGTGCTTTAGCTTTGGCGGTATTTTCTTCGGTTATGATTCTGGATACATCAACGGCGTCACTGGCTCAAAGGTCTTCGTCGAGTCCGTCATGGGCCCCGGCGTCGATGCCCTGTCCAGCTCACGGAACTCGCTCATCACCTCCATCCTCTCCGCCGGAACATTCTTCGGTGCCCTCATCGCTGGTGATCTCGCCGACTGGATAGGTGTGTACATCGTGGTTGATCCCAGCGCTCGTGCTTATTATCGCCACAGGTCGTCGCCCTACCATCATTGCCGGATGCTTTATCTACATGGCTGGTGTTATCCTTCAAGTCGCCCACTCTTCCGGACTTGGCCTCATCGTTTCCGGTCGTCTCATTGCTGGCTTCGGTGTTGGTTTCGTGTCGGCTGTTATCATCCTTTACAGTACGTCCTTGTCTCCCCTCGATTCGAAGTGTCGCTCACAATCTACAGTGTCCGAAATATGCCCTCGCAAAGTCCGCGGCGCTCTTGTGTCCGGCTACCAATTCTGTATTACCATCGGTCTCATGCTGGCGTCCTGTGTGACCTATGCGACTGAGAAGCGTACCGACACTGGCTCATACCGCATCCCTATCGCCATCCAATTCGCATGGGGCATTGTCCTCGCCGCTGGTCTCTTCCTTCTCCCCGACTCGCCTCGCTACTTTGTCAAGAAGGGCCAGCTCGAGCGTGCACAGACCACCCTTGCCCGTCTCCGCGGACAGCCGGTTAACTCGCAGTACATCGAGGAAGAGCTCGCCGAGATTGTCGCCAACCACGCCTACGAGCAGAGCCAGATCCCTGCGACCGGATACTGGGGCTCCTGGAAGGCCTGCTTCACCGGCGGACTCTCCACCTCCAACTCGAACCTCCGCAAGACCATTCTCGGCACGTCGCTCCAGATGATGCAGCAATGGACTGGTGTCAACTTTATCTTCTACTACTCGACACCGTTCCTCAAGACCACTGGCGCGATCAAGAACACCTTCCTCATCTCCATGATCTTCACCATCATCAACGTGTGCTCGACACCCATTTCTTTCTGGTCCATGGAGCGCGTCGGACGTCGTCCTCTCCTCATTTGGGGCGCATTCGGCATGTGTGTCTGCCAGATCATTGTCGCTGCTGTTGGTGATACCGTCGGATTCAACAGTACGCTCTCCTTCGTCCTTTTAGCCTTATCCGTTGCTAACATTACTTCCAGAGACCCACCTGAACGCTGCTGGCGAGTCTGTCGCGAACAACATTGGTGCCGTCAACGCCCAGGTTGCCTTCATCGCCATCTACATCTTCTTCTTTGCATCGACGTGGGGTCCTGGCGCCTGGGTTGTCATTGGCGAGATCTTCCCTCTGCCCATCCGGTCGCGCGGTGTCGCACTTTCTACCGCATCCAACTGGCTCTGGAACACCATCATCGCGACGATTACGCCGTACATGGTCGCTGAAGACAAGGGCAACCTCAAGTCTAACATCTTCTGGGTGTGGGGCGGACTTTGTGGACTTTGCTGTGAGTATCCTTTCATCATACCGATTAAGGGAGCTGTAAGCTGACTTGGGATTTAGTCGTCTACGCATACCTGCTTGTACCCGAGACCAAGGGACTGACGCTCGAGCAAGTCGACCAGATGATGGCTGAGACCTCTCCCCGCACATCTGCGGCCTGGAGACCGACGAAGACCTTCGCTGAGGAGGTGGGCATGGCGAAGCACAATGTCGAGCACTCGGAGCATGTGAAGGAGAAGGAGTCGATTGAGGCATGATTTTAACGAACGATACTTATTATGATACGAGGATTCATGGGACGAGCGGTCGGGCTCGTGTAATGTATGCAAAAAACTTGATTAGTTGGGTAGTTTATTTAGTACCTCGACGCTTTTGATGCTACTTACTGTACGAATATGGAATGAGTGTGCAATGTATTCTTGATAATCTTTCTCGTCATCTGCTGAAGAAGTTGGGCATGGAGAAGAGCGTGAACAGCAGGATATGTTGCATGCACGAGTCGATGGCCCACCGGAGGCCTGCATGCGGAAGGAGCTCGGATGTCCTACAAACTTGACAGGCGTACGACTGATGGAACATAGCGCGAATCTCAAAAAACGTTTCTGTTTATTTAATATTTATTTAACAGTTAACTTCGACGGAATTATGAATGGAGTCAATGGACAAACCGACTCTGGCGATCGATGGCGAGTCCAACAAAACATCAGTCTGTTTCAGAGACCCCTGCGTGGTTCGAACACGCGACACCAGGATCTGCAATCCCGTACTCTACCACTGAGTTAAGGAGTCTGACACACAGACATATTGACCAATGTGTGTTGTTTCATGCACAAAGGTCAATCCAGGTAAGTCAGCTATACACTGAGAGTGCCATCTATACAATCATTTTTCATCATCTCTCCATCCACAGGGACGGCTAAGCTATCTGCCGCCATCACCACAAAACGCAATCTCCGTTGGAGAGCGCGCTACGCGGTACCTCCCCTGATACTTCATCACCAGAGCCTGAAACGCTTCTGGCACCAATGTGTTACAGTGTGATGCATCTTTCTCTTTTACTCTCATGTCAAACGACGACGGCACTGGCGCGCTCTCCGCACAGGACGTCAACCTTCTAAAGGATGGTTATACGCAGACAGCGCTGAGCTTCGTACTCTGGGGTGCGCCATCCCACTGAGTGTGGCGTGCAGGGCGTTTGATTGACCCACGCATAGGGCTCGTGCTGGCATGCTGTATCCGCGCTTCTTATGTCCTGATGTGCGCCTCCAGCGAACCCTTCTAATGTTTTGGCGGTGGGACTGACCTCAGTGGCAGGTCGCGCGGTATCCGGCGCGCATCAAAAGCAACGCGGAACTATCTTGTCTCGACCGTGGTGTTGCTGACGACCTGCGTAACCGTCGTCTCTATCCTCTATGTCAATTTTTGGATCATTTTCATCAACGACCTCGCGGACGGGCCGTCGAAGATGGATGCTCCAATACCTTTGGACTTGCGGAACCTCTGGCTGACCATTCTCTGGGTCGAGCACTTCATGGTGCGTAGATAACTGGCAGTGGAATGAATCTTCTGACCGGCGTTGCAGTACCTCCTTTGCGAGAGTGTGCTTGTATGGCGCGCTTGGGCACTCTGGTGCGATACCATCTCTGTCAAGTCCGTATTGGCGGCAACCTACGTCGTTACGTGCGGTACGCATCTTAACCTTCTCCGTCCCTTCCTCGCCCTGACCCCGAACCCAAAGCCTCTGTCTTCGTCGACGTGCTTCTTTCTACGCTCATCCAGCTCAACGTCCACGGGCTGTCGGATAACCTCCATTTTCGTTTATTGATGTTTATTCCCCTTCTCGCAACGAATGTCATCGCAACCTTCTTTATCGGACTCAAGGTCTGGTGCGTACTCGACCTTGCTTCTACCCAACTCGGTCACTGATAATACCATCCCACGCAGGTATTATCGCGATGAGGTCAGGGCCTTTGTAAACAACATCGGCACCACCAGTGTCTTCGAAAAGGTCTTCCCACTCTTCGTCGAATCCGGTTTCATCTACGCAGTATTTTGGGTACGTCCATGTCGTGCGCGCATGCGCGCTCCCCGCTGACCACCGTACAGATTTTCTATATATTGACAGACTATCAAGTCTTCCCTAACCCGCGGTCGTGCAATTCATGGCGGGTGGTGGTCACCTACATGGCTGTGCGTCCTTCCCTGTGCCTACTTTCGATGTCCATGGAACTAATGAATCGCGGCAGGCTCTGTACCCAATGCTGACGATTCTGCTCGTCGGCTACGAACGCTCAACGCAAGATGCCATTCGCCTGGGCCATCAGTTAATGACCCGGCGCGTGGAGAGCGCGTTGAAGAGCGCAGGGAGCTACAGCGATACCCACGGGACGGTTTCCGATATCTATTTCAGCTCGAGGACGTCGCTGGACAGGAATCCGCCTCCAGAAACAGGCAGAACACTAGGCGTGATGTCGTGATTGTACCCTCTGAGCCCCTTGTATTATCGTTAATATGTACTTCGAGTGAACGCGGGCAGAATCATACAAATGATGTTCGCTTCAACTGGCAGCGCCTCGCTCTCACAGTCTCACTGGGACCGGCTGTGGTCTACTAGACAGCGGGTTTGCTGCCTACATGGTCAACTGCGTTGGAATGGGATGCGTAATCCGGACAGCTACTGAGACGAGCGCCTCGGCATTCGATTTTCCTGACCGCCCGAGAAATCTTCGAAGTGCGATGTTCTCTCCACCTTTGTGGTCATGTCATCAAGCTCAATCAAATGGAAAATAGAGTAGATCAACGCGTCCCCGCGTGGAATATTGTTGCATACAGGTTGCATAAGAGGCTCAAGTGGGTCTGCTCTAAGGCGGAAGGAGCTCGGATGTCCTCGAGAGATATATCTCATACTGCCGCATCCATGCTGCTCGTGTGAGAGGGAGTAGTCGCGGCCGTCGGTCTTTGACAGCAAACCAGTCCAAGAAGATGAGAAATATGTGCAATGGCAGGAAGCTGCGATTGGCGCATCAGCCCGAATTCTTGGTTTCTCTCGGGTCGCAACCACGTGCACGTGCTAGCACACATCCCCGTGACTAAGCGCTAAGCGCTAAGCCCTCGGCCTCATCCTACACAAGTGTCGTGGTCAATTCCTGAAGCTGACATTGCACCCTTTGACTGGGCACAACAGCGCGCGTTTCTCGAGTGCAGGGGATGTATCCCGATCAAGTACAGTTGGACTCACCAGCACCTCACCAGGCGTAAGTGCAGCTCGTGCGGAGGGCACACAGCTACATGACTTGCAGCTCACACGGCAGTTTGCTACATATTTGCTGTATCGCGGGAAGTAATCATCGGCCCGCTACATGCACTGTTCACTTATATAAGTAGTTCACCCAATCCTTGAATATTCACAACTGCAAAACCGCCTCCTTTCCCTTTTAATTCGTGTCTATACTGCTTTCGCTATGGTCGACTGGCAGTCACCCAAAGAAATAGAAAGCGATGAGTGTGGGTAGATTGGATTCTCATATCTGAGCACGTCGTCTGAAGGAACCTCTTTAGCCACCTTTAAGTACCTCATGCACGTTCTTCTTGGCGTTTACATGTGCGCCACTTCTTTCCCTTGAGCCCCACAATAAATTTCACGGTCTTAGCTGGGAATGGCTCACCTCACTGGCATTCGACTGGGAGTACATGTCGCGCAAGCGGCCATTCCGGTGGCCTTTGGTTAGAAAGCTGTCCGTTCAGCTCACATTCTACGCTAAACGCTACAATAGATCTTCTACTTCTTGAATCGCTACAGCCTACTATTTGCTCTGTCCGCAACGTGCGCTGAATCCTTGACTCGTTCTTTAAATAAACCCTGACTTTTCTCCAGTCCTATTGCACTCAACGTGAAGAGGTTTAGTCATCGCTACAATTCCGATTACACTTCTCATTGTTTCCCTCTATAAATTGTTAGGTCCATCAATTGCAAAGCGCTCTATACCTTTCTCCAGGTTCGTGGCGATCCTCGCGCATCGACGTAGCATTAACGGTCACTTTCCAGGTTTGCGGAAGCTCATCTATCGGTTTCTCATCCATCAACCTCTCCCTAAGGACGTACGCCATTAGCCTGAAAACAACTGTTGCGGCTTGCAATTGACATGACCCCAGCATGGCAATTTACGGGCAAAGCTTATATGTTGTCATTGCTTTGGTCATCCTCATTTTGGGGCACTGGTGCCTCCTCCTACACGGTATTATATTTGCTTCTTGAAATTACTAACCGCCTGAACAAGTGTTAATAGGTCTCATGCTCGATGCTGTTTGGCAGCCATCGCACGGCTGCGTCATCAAAGAGACCAATCTTCATATACTTGCTGCATCTTTCATTTACGGAATGTCCTTTGACTTCATAGTTCTAATTCTTATGGCGTGGAAGCTTGTACTTTCGTCCAGACACGGATTACCCAGAACGAGCCGTCCGGCGCTCATGACCTTGGTTTTCAGCGATGGTTTATTTTATTTTGTGGTCGCGTTCCTTTCGAGTCTTGTGGCTACTGTATGCTTCTATTTCTTAACATAAAATTGGCTCTAGTTCACGCCGCTCGCAGATATTAGTTTTACTAAACTTGAACGCCGTCATGTCGGTCATCGCAAGCGCCCCAGCAGCCACTGCGTCCACTGTACGCACATTTTCTGTCCATTTTGTTTATCCGAAATCCACTGAATTTGAACTGCCAAGATTGTGGCTTGTCGCGTTGTTCGTCGGTTGGCCATGTTCTCGGAAAACAGTCAAGTCGGGTCCGTTTTCCGAATGTTGTACTTACAAAGTATACGTTGAACTTAAGGTGCACACAGAATGTCCTTTCTATCCAACATTGCTTTCAAAAGCGAGTCCACATCGCCAATGCAAAGTCGCCGACGTATCTCTGTGCCCACGGATGTACCAGCGGTGCGCCTAGGCAGCGGAAAAAAAGTTTGTTGTTGACATTCTTCGAAGACTCGAATGGACACGCGTGCTGCGTCAAACGACGACGCGGTAGTAACTGTCCGGTTTCCAGACGATCTCGAGTTTGGCTCGGGAGCGCATTGAGCAAGCACTTGACATAGACAGGAAACATGCATAAGCAGTCAATTTAAATCATGATGGTTATACTTTCTATCATAACCTTTCTCGTGAAGCTACTATCTCTCAATATAACGATCTTGCGACTCCCAGTCGAATTTAAGCCACCAACGAGTCTTATTCAGCTTTCCCAGCGCCGTCAGCTTAGGGAGAAGATCTTCTGCATGTTCAGTGGAAACATCCGCCCAAATTCGCACCTCCCTCAACGAGCCCCACGCAGCCAGAGGATTGTCAAGTACGTCCCATACCTCTCGCGGGCGTTGCCAATTGTGGCAGTCATATTCGGTGATGAGCGTAAATTGCTCGAGCACGGCACGATCCGGTACGTGCTGAAATGAGTCGACAAGCCATCGGGTTGACCAAACACATCCCGGCTCGAGATGGAACTCGAATCGTTCAAGTTTCGCCATATCTATAAGATCGTATAGCGGCTCTACACGCCGCATTAATACGCGATTGAAGATTGAACAATATACACGCACGACGGAGATAGCTGTTCATTGAGAGATCCGTGAGAGTGGCCCTGGTCTGCCGTAGCACGTCTTCGACCTTACTCAGAGCATCCTCTAGTGCGGGATGACGGTAGGTAAAATTAAGGCTTAAGTGCGTAAGCCTGTCGTATCGTACCACTTGGTCCATCGGCCATCCTATAGAACCATCGAGCATAAAAAGAAACGGTGGC